ATAAACAAAGCACACTAGGACGATTTTCGCTACATACACTATATAATTTTATTACTAAGCCATTGTCGTTAATTTGATGAAGAAAATTTACTTTTATACACGTATGAGTAATGCTCATAAAAATGATAGTACCAAAAACATTAAAACAATACAATAACTTTGACAACTCAAGGAGACCGAGTTGTACTGATGAACTTTGTCCGTCAATCTAATTAGCCATGCACAAATCGCGGACGACCTTGACTACAAAACCTGTTGTTTTTACGCAGGCTGATCCCGGCAAGGTGAGCTCTATTATTTTGTAGGTTGTTATTTGGCGGGTAATCGAGGATTTTTGGGAGGAACGTACCGTACTTCCGCAGCCACCGAGTCGGAGCTAATTGTTACGTTTTTGCACCAGTGGAGTTTCTGGCAGAAAAAGTACACCAACCTATACGAGCGTGTTTTGTAGGACGACACGTTGAATTCAATAATTCCAGCGATGGTGAATGAAATTCGCGATTGAAAAGCCAGAGGAAGAAATCAAGGAAATAACATCTGAACCTTGACTGAGGTGATAAAAAACCTATTAATTTAACATCGATCATACCGTACCAAATTAACAATACCTCGCGGGGATACCATCTATTGTATTCTAATGAGTTAATTTTTACTTACACCACCGTCTAGAAGCCTTGAAGTCTCATTTCGACTGAGTTGTGGATGTAATGGTGAGTCAATCGGTAAGAATTTAAATGGCGGAGATGTAGCTCATGTAACTGCACAGTATTTGAGAAAATGGAACGGCTTTAATTAAATTTAAGACGCAGAATAGGTGATAAAAATCTTATACGGTATGCAGACACCTACGCGGCGTGACTCAGCACGGCAGGGGGTTACAGACCCAGTTAAAAACGGTTCCGAGAACGCGCAAAAACCCTGAGTAAAGGTGGAGTCACAATCAAAGGCCGGACCATTGTGAAAGATGTCGCAATGGCATCGCATTGTTCGAAAAATTACTATTGTACAGTGGACAAAGCCACTATTAAAAATCACACACATTTCTAAGCTTAGCGAGACCTAAATTAGGTGTGCCTACGGGTAAAATAACTGTCTCGATTGTTTCGGGAGCGAGGACGTAGTTTTTGTAGAAATTTTTGTGTTGGGATCGGGTATAGGGGTATTTATCACTAGTTATCGAGTGATTTACAAGCCCGGTCCGCAGAGCTTCCGGAGGATAAAATAAATAAAAACCTTTGTACTGTTGTCCGATACGGAGCACGGCAACGAAAGAAATAAAAAGCCGTCGCGACAGTTCATAACTGATTATTCGAAACTGATAAATTTGATGCTGTTTCCAAGAGCGATGAACTGGTTCAAAAAATTTCCTTTTTAAATTCATAATTCTTATTTTTACTTTCCGGCGCTAATTGAAAATGTACTGACGAAAGCTACATACACCATTTTCTTTGATCTTAGGAACGTTTTAATTCACTTATCCCTGTAAGGTGAATTAAATGACATCAAAGCCCTCCTTTTCCGTCTTTTTTTTCGTCTTCTAACGGTACCTGCGGATTTAATATCCGGGATAGGATGGTCTATTAGACTTAATTAACGCCAAGGCGTTGGAGAAAAAAAAAACAATAGATGAAGGCAGAAATTAAAACTGTACACCACGCTAGACCTGAGAACTGAATTCACAGTTCGATCGAAAAACTGTTGTTAAATTACACCGTATCTGATTCACTTAATATGTATCTAGGCATACCGAAGAAATCGCTTCGCAAGACGTTATTACGAATTGAAATCATATTTTAGTTATTTTTTACGGTGAAAGGGACTGGTCGTAGAGTCAAAAATGACTTCATGTTTGTAACATTGAGGATGAACAACATCAATATAGAATACACTTTCTGAAACACACCAATTTGGAATTGTGAAGGACGATGAAGTTTCACGTAGGTATAAATAAACCTGTTCTATGACGTTTGTTCGAAGTTTGAATTCAGCAAATAAATATTTTGTATCACTAAAAAGCGGTGCTGTCAGCATAATAACCATTATCACCGTTTTATTACCGAGAATTCCCGTGTTTATCATACGTATACCTGCATAGGTAAACTCTTGAATGCTTAATAAGGACGCGGTGGACACGGACATTGACAAGAATATGTAATGAGGATTTACTTAATAGTCGCTTCAACCGCAACTATTTTGTCCAGTTCTAAGTGTAATTTTTTATATTTTCGGTACTGAAAACTCGTACCACACCTCTAAAGCTACATCATAAACTTCGTGCAGAGAAATATTTGTTTCCGATTAAAAAAAAGTTACATTAACTTAACTTCTAATCGTTGTGAAATTTTTTCACGAATCAGTTCCTAAACTTCTACCTATACCTGCCAAGGGATGTAAGTGACACAGTTTGGATCAATTTAGTACTCAAGAATAGTTGATATAATGCAGTTCTATCGTGAAGATATTACGACAATTAAAATAAAGTCAGTGTTTTTTGATACCAAAAAGTCAAATAGCCAAATAATGCAATCGCATATCTTATGACTCTAACACTACCCTTGACAAAAACTAATATGTAAAAATATCCACGATAGAAAGATTTTACTATTTTCACATTTTATTAGGATTGTTTCTTTAGACAGCTACCTCGCGAATGAAATTAATAAATATTAATAGAACAAAATTGTATAAATTAATGCAAAAAATTAAAGGGTCAAAAGAATTTCCGAAATTTTTCCGTGATTTTTAACGGACTGTATTTAGGTGAAAAATGGTCGTATCGGGAATAAGAAAAAAGCCTTTTGAAGCTCTAAGATTCTAGTTTTTAGATCTTTTGGTCGAAATATTTTAGGAGCTACGATTATCATGCAATTCTAATAGCGAGACAAAAAATTTTTTTTTATTTTCTTAGTCCACCGACTTTTTTTCAAGTTTTCTCACATTTTTACCGCAAATAATGTTTAAATTTTTTGGAAAACCTTCCGGACATTGAAAAGAACAAAATCCAATTGTTTCCAGTAGGATTCGGTTTTTCCCTCCTATGCTTCTGTTCGTCAACTTTTAATTAAATTAAAATCAAAGTTGACCCAAACCATATTTCGGCCCCGATTCATATCGTTTTTGAGACAAATTTCTAATTAATTTTTGTGCAGTCTGTAATCACTTAAAAAACAGTTTTTTTTTCAAAACTACCCTTTCTTCTCTTAAAAAAAATTTCAAAAGTTTTCTTTTTTTTTCATCAATTTAAAGGTTATTTGCGGTAAAAATGTGAGAAAATTTTTCCGAAAAGTTGCGGCAGAATGTTATACGAAATTTATCTTAGAGCTTCAAAATTTTTAGTTCCCTATACGACCATTTTTCACCTAATATCAGTCTGTCAAAAATCACGGAAAAATTTCGGAAATTCTTTTAACCCTTTAAATTTTTTGCATTAGTTTAGTAAAATCACAAAAAAGTTTTAGAAAAAAAGCAATTTGAAATGACTGTCTAAAATTGAATATGACTAGATTAAAGTGAAATAACATTTGCCTATTTTACTAAATTTCCTTTTCTGTAATATATATTTTATATTAATTAGTAATAAATCCATAGGTATTAAAAAAATTATAACAATAATGCAGTTCCTTACTTCCACGTAATGTTTAAAGAAAAACTAATCAGTGGTGTCGAAACTGAGAGCAATCTAAGGGGTTTCAACCGAGGTTTCAACAGTAAAATAAAAAAGTTTTTTAACATTTTGAATGTGATTTTTTCATAGAATGTTAGACACTGGTAAGTACTGTAATATGGATAAAAATGCAATAGAAAATTTTCTCTGACAGGCACCATTTAGTTTCGTCGCCACTGGCTGGTTTTTGATGAAATTTTATAGGTACACGGGAAGCAACTACAAGAAAACTTTATTACACCAATTTTGATCCAAATCTCTTAGTAATTGATCAAAAATTGGTCAGTATTAGAAGAAGTGTAGAGTTCCTAGAAATTGTAATAAAAAAACATATTTTACTTATTTTAGTAAGCCTAAATTCAGTCCTGAAAGTACGTCACAACGTCGCTTTACACCCTGTATAACGATTTAATTTTAAACTGTAAAAACTGGACGCATAAAATGCCCAAATCGTCACGAAAATTGCCCACCTCTCTATTTCGAATGTGCTAAAATCTTTAGTTATTTTTGTGCGGTCGAACCTAGTTTTCGAGAAAAAAATATTTTAAAACTTACACTTCATGTAACTAGTGTTCGGAACATTTGTAACGAACACAAACATTGTTTAAAAAACATATTTTCGCAAATTTCAAGTAAAAAAAATATGTAGGTATTTAACAAATAAAAATTATTTCTTGCTTCAATGATGATGAACAGATGAAGAGAGTGAGAGAACTTCAATGACATTGCAAATGGCGGATTGAAGCAAGAAATTTTTATTAAATACATATTTTTTTACTTGAAATTTGCGAAAATGTGTTTCTTAAACAATGTTGATGGTTCAATATATAATATGTTCTGAAAGCTACATAAAGTATACAATGTCGTGAGTAGTATTCTATGATTTCTATGAAATGTTCAAAATTTTGGATTTTTTTTCTGAATCCACAAAAATAACGCCAGATTCGTGTTCAGTACCCTCGAACATAGGGAAGTGGGAACATTTTTGTGTCGATAATCACCTTCAACCTTCAACTGTAAAAACTGGACGTCCTCCAGTCGACTTGTTGCAGAGTTGTAAACAACAACAAAACCAAACGTCCTATAGTTTCAACGATGGTTTCGTACTCAAGAATTGCAACCAAGCCGTTCATAACGCAAATTCAATTGGATTTTATTACACTGTACACCCTGTGCATCAGAAAGACAGCTGTAATGACAACACCGCGACTACCAAGGAGTCATACGTAGGCATTCCTTCGTAGGTGTTGTTTCCGAACGAAAGAAAACGACATCGCGGCCGTTCGCAAGTTAATATCCAAACTCCGCTCCGTGGGCGTGCTTTTGACCGGCTTACCTTTCATATGCTGGACAGGATCTAACGGTGTCCCACACAGGTAGACGGTGAGGAAGGCCAGCACTAGCACAACACTGCACAATACCCTCGGGTACATTGTAGGGACCGATCACTGTGGGACTCTTCGTCGGTCGGCGACGGTGGCATCTTATCCTGGTGCTCATGTGTCGCGAGAAGCGGACGGCAACACGGAAATCGCGAGCATCCTATGCGGTTCGTCACTTGCGCTCCCGCCACGGTCACCGCTGGTCGAACACTGATCCAGCCGTTCAAGAGAACAACTCACGTTGCATTTCGGTGCGTTTGTGGGTAGCGTGCCGAGCGGGCGGAAAGCGACGAACTCCGGCGATTGTTTGTACCTGCGCAGTCGTGTTGGAAGTTGTTGGCGCGCTCCGGATGCCGGAATGATTTTCACGGGACGGCGGACGCGAGTTGGTCCTCCGTCTGTCTTGTTTTTGGCTGATTAACACCCTTTTGAAGTAGATGTCCACAGTTCGGTCTATGTTTTGTTTTAGTTTTATTTCTGCGAACCGGAAAATATGAAACAGAAACAAATCAAGTTTCGAAGTTGAAGAAAGACAAATTATATTTCTATTATACCGACACTGCTCACAAATACTTCGAAACCCCATTACAGCTTTTGAATGGTTTGCAAAAAGTTTGAAAATTGTTTTGTCCGTTTCTTGGAAATACGTTTTTATAAACCCTCTTATTGAATTGGAAGAAACACAAAAATAAACACCGACGGCAGACGAGGATAAGTGTACTTAAAATTGTTCAAGAGAGGCAAAATAAGTTTTTTAACGTTCGTATTTTTTGTCGTCATATCGTTTCGGCAAAGGACCCCATTGACTAGCGAATAAGAATTTTGCACGAGTTAAAAGTGAAATATTCGTACAAATAAGGATGATATTTTCTATTTTTAAATTTAGAACAGGTGAAAATTTATTTAATTTGAAAACTTAACTTTATTTACTTGAAAATACATTTGCATTTTTCGTTTTAAACATACAACCTTTCTTTTTTTCCTCGCAACAACGTACCATTGAACACAAAAGAAGATACATCAGTCAATTACAAAGAAACACCTCAAGAGGGCCATTGCCAACCAAAAATAAATAAAATTTCTAACAAATATTTAAAAGTTCAAAAAACCTACAAACATTTCAAAAATTTGGATAAGTAACATGTAACTTTTCCCGCAAATTTCATATTTGCTTCAGATGAAAAGAGTACATTTTTAAATTCATGTCTATAGTAATTAAATTTTCCAGTAAAATGGACTTATTCCTATAAATATATAAGAATCCCGTCCAATAAGAAATTTAAAAAAAAATGAAAGAATTGCTGGAAGCAGAACAGCGTCTCCAATTAGTAGCAGTTTTCATCATGAGAATCAGCTCATTCTTTTCCCAAGATATGTATAATTAAGAAATTGCCGAAGAGTTTAAGAGAATATAAGAAAAAAATGTATTTGATGAGTGAAAGCCTCTAAGTAAGGCTTAATAGATTGAAGATGTCAGTCTAAAGTCACACAAGTTAGACAAAACTGCCAAATCACCCATTATTTTTAATAATCGCTCTCTGTTTTCCAATTAAAGGAAAACAAAATATTGTTCGAAAAAATTAAAGTGATAAATTTTAGCACTTGTTCTTAGAAATTTATGCTCTTTTACTAAACTTGTAAATAACATTTGTTTAAGGACGTTAGATACACCTCTTCCGGGGTGGGCGGTGCGGAGAGTATGCCTATGTTTATACACGGGAGTCTTGTTGCAGTACCAACTTTACATAAATTAATTTCAGCGAACTAAGTATGCTATTTAGATTGAAATTTATACAACACATATTAGCTTGCATATTTTTTTCGTGTTTAATACACGTCAGTTCACTTTTTATTTGAATAAAAGCGTCTATTTATTCATTACGAGCTTCTAAAATTATGGATGAAATCTGGCAACATTGCCATGGCGTGGTGGTAAAAGTTGGGTCAACTGTCATTACTGTCAACTTTGCGCGAATTCCGTGAACATGAATGAACAACCAAGGTACAAAGGAAAAGTAATGACTGAAAAGTAATATAAAATGAGTGTAAAAGAGAATGTGGATTGATGAGAATAAAATAAAATGTGCAAACCGAGAATCCATATGATAACTATCAAGAAGTTCAGTGTATGATAGTGAGACGTCGACTTGTCAAATTGAAGATTATGACATAACATCTATACTGTTCGTTTTGCAAAGAGATCCTTTCAATTTTTGTTTCAAATTGCTAGTATATTGCTTTAGATCACGAAAAATTTATTTAATATTAATTATTACTACATATATTTTCGACTGGAATAATTTTATAATCTATAATCGAGCTATTCAAATACATTTAACGCATCAGTCGAAGCATTAAATACAGCGTACAGTGTTGCCATATTTCCTTTCATTGGATCAGATGTTTGTTCAAATTTGTCAAAACGTTATCTATTCATCCCATTATCTCAATAATTACATTGTAAGTGCATATTTTTATTGTTTTAAAATGTTTAGTAATATTTAATTCTGTAATTACAATTTTATTTTTCCGATCCTAACCATTTTTAAGAGCAATATTCACGTTTGATTAAAGTTTTTTCCCAACTCCCATAAGAGCCTGTGTAATTTTTAAAATCATTTTTCAAAAAAACTACGTTGTCAATCGATCTGATGTTTTTACACAAGTCAGTTTGCATATTTTTTAACAGATTTCAATTGCTTTGAAAACATTTTTACCATTTTTCTTTTGGTATCGAACCTCCTTAAGTAATAATATTGTGAGAAACCACTACTCGGCCGACTACAGCCCCGTCCACCATTGAATTACACTCTCAATATCTAGTAAACAGCTATTTGGCTGTTACATACCTATTTGTTTTGAATTTAATAAAGTTTTTATTCTGAGGGGACAGATTTCTACGCCCTTTGAAAGGCACCAAATGAGTTTCGAAAAAAAAATTTACTTTGACCCTTCAGAGATACAATAATTCAATAATTTACAACGTTATGAGTTTAGACTTTTGTGATTTTAAGGAGAAACATCGCTCTTTTCTTAAGAAGTTCTGTATTCTGAAATTTTCTCTCGAAACGTCAAGAAATCTAAACCAATGATGTGTTAACCAGTCCAGAAAGTTTTCAAAAATAACAATTGCTACAGAAGCACACAAACGAAAATCTTAAAAATTTGTTGGAACAAAACGCCGCTCCAGAACTTTTCATATATGTAAGATAATTCAACAGTTTTGGCCACTAGGATTTCGTTGTACCATAAAAAAACAGCTAATTTTAATAATGAGGCGAAAAAACAGCATTTAATTTTAAATCAAAAGGGTCAAAATAAGAAGAATAAGAAAATTAGTTAAGATTTTTCTTAATAAAAAAGTCAAGAAAGACATTAAAGAGAACGATTTATATACATAGTTCCACTTCACACACATAATTTCAAGAAATATAAGCAGTTATATGAACACCTACATTTTGTTTTAAAGTTTCACCAATTAACATATTTTATATGGAGAGAAAATTGTTGTGTTTCTTTAACTTTGACTCTATGATGAACTCAGACAATTGGCAAAAACTGTGAAGGAATTTGTCTTCCCCGCCTGCACCCAGTGGGCTAGGAATTACTTAATCGCTTTAAATGCAATTGGCCTTCATCAGAATGATTTATAAAAATGGAATAATGCACTAAAATCCCGATTTAAATCTTGAGAACGATTATTTATAAACGCCTGTACATAGCACAAATACTGTGTTTAGTGTTGAAAACAACTTTGATATATCAATCCGAGGCTTTTTAAATAATAAAAACATAGATATTAATGTACTGTAGTGTGTGTTTTGCAGATAATAGTTATTGAAGAAAAAATTACAGGTAAGTATTCTGAATTGATTCTCTCTAACGTGGAAAAATTTTTATAATATAGTTATAGTTGAAAAGTTGTTTCAATATGTAGGCATTCGTATACAGGGTGTCTCAAGATATGTTGGCAGTCTCTCGGATTTATACAGGGGACGTTAAAATAACATGACAAGTTCCTACAAAAATTTCCGTTCAATGTTTTTTAATAACCTTCAAAATACTTTGTGCAATTTTTAATTATTTTTAGGAGACAATAAATGTAAATAAAAGTGGTAATTTTTTAGATCGGCACAGAAATAATGCAAATTTCATCGGTTTATTTCTCTTTATGAATGTAATAAAAATCATATTAAACAAAGAAGTTTTTTTCTCGAAAACAGTTCATTTTATCGATGTCAACCAAGAGTGCCTTTTTTAGTTTAAAGTTCAAGCTATCCAAAAATATTATTTTTGTGCCTCTATCGTAAAGGGTGTAAAAAAATTTGACATTATGGTGCTACCGCTGGCAAACCGAATAAGCCAAACTGTTTTCATGGGTCATTTTTTAAGGAGTTTTATCTGTTGTCCATCGTATTAAAAAAAAATAATTAATTTACACAAAGTATTTTGAAAGTTATTAAAAAAAGTTGATTTTCAGGGGCGTCCTTGGGGGGCCTATATCTCATATGGCTTCTAGCGAAAATTTGTATAGGGACTTGTCCTATTATTTTAACGTCCTCTGTATAAATACGAGAGATTGCCCACATATTCTGAGACACCCTGTATATCTTCAGGAAAAATATATCTAGTTTTTATAGTTTTAGAAAACCAAAAACCGAATACGCTGACAAAAAAATTAATAATTTTAATATTTGTAAATATCGAATTTTTGTTCATTTTTGAATTTTCCAGTGAAACAAGTTGCTACTATGATCAATACACTCTATTGTATATGTGGTTGCCGCTATTAAAATCCTTCAGTTAGAGAATTTACAATTTTAGAGAGTTAGTCCACGGATAGGTGGCAGCACAGTCGATTCCGTCAGATATAACAATAAGAGCGCTTCAAATTTAAAAACAAACAATTTGTTGCTTAAATTGTTGCAAGAAGGCAACAAAAGTAATGAATAATAAAATTTTTTATCTGTGAAACATTTCAGAAGCAGAAAACTTACTTTCAACTCAATGCGAAAACTGTTAGTCGTCAACAGATGGCGCTACATGTATAATGGCAAAATAGATTCAGTTGAATTCCAATCATTTTGAAAGTATACGATTTAGTCCAACCAAATTACACTTGGAGAAAAAAAAATGTTATCTTGACTTTTATGAGTGGAACTGGTAAAGGGGCTTATAATCAATGTAAAAAACTATATGCGGGAGCAGAGGTGGCGGAGGGTTGATTTGGGGGGTTGAAAAGTTGTGAAAAATCGTATCATTTGGGATTTCTGGCGAAAGTTGACGTCAAACAAAAAAGTAATCAATACACATGTAGATCATGCAAAAATCTACAACTTTTGTAGAGGTCACTTTTTAAGACAACCTCAAAACTTCCGAGAAAAATGTGAAAAACGAATTCTTTTTTAATTTTCGTTTTTTATTTCTTATTTCTGCAAAAATATTTTAATTTTTACGAAACTTGAAAGTATACCTATCTGTGTCTTAAATAACTACAAATTTCTTTAGAAAAAAAAATCAAGAAGTTTCGGAGATATTCATTTTTTTCGGCCCGAAACACTTTTTTTTTGAAGAAAAATTCTACTTAGAAAAATCATCATACAGAGTTCTGCCATAATCATTTTTTTCGTTTTGACATATACTTTTTGGTGAAATAAAAAAATCTGTAATCACTGTTCAAAAACATGCTCAAAAATGCAAAAAAAAAAATAAAAAATTACTTGCAACAATTAATTTTTCAGTAATTGTTGATAATTGGTTAAATTTTAAAAAAATCAAACTGATTACACCATTCAATTGTACGGAAAAAAATATAAAAAAAAACTGTCATTGTTTGACCCACAACTTTATTTTTGTACTGTATTGTATTTTTTCTGTATAATTGGACGGTGTAATCAGTTTTTTTTTTTTTTAATTTAAACAAATTATCAACAATTACTGAAAAATTCACTATTGCAAGCAATTTTGTATTTTTGTTGCATTTTTGAGCATGTTTTTGAATTGTGATTACAGATTTTTTTATTCCGCCAGAAAGTACATATCAAAACAAAAAAAAATGATCACCGGAAGATACGATACGATGATTTTTCTTAGAGTTTTTCCTTGAAAAAAGGTATTTCAGAAAAAAATTAAGATCTCAGAAATTTCTTGATTTTTTTTTCGTCAAAATTAAATTATTTTTGAGAAATGAGAAATAAAAACGAAAAATAAGAAAAACATTTGTTTTTCGCATTTTTCTCGGAAATTTTGAGGTTATCTTAATAAGTGACCTCTACAAAAGTTGTAGATTTCTGTAAGATCTACAACTTTGTAATTGATACTTTTTTATTTGACGTAAACTTTTGCCACACCCAACGATACAATTTTTCACAACTTTTAAACCACCCAAATCAATCTTCCTGCTCATGCATTTATTTTTTTTTACATTTATTATTAGCCCCTTTTCCATTTCCACCTATAAAAGTCTAGGTAACAATTTTCTTTCTTTTTCCCTCTAAATGAGTTATTTCGATCAGTCTAGTTCCTAAGGGCCTAATTTTAATTTCATATTTTTTTTTAGCGTTTCTAAAATGAGACCTTTACATCAAATTTTCATATCTATTAATTCAATTCTTGAAGGCCTACTTTGTTGAATCGATACTTGAAACACAAAAATAGTTTAGTCATGACATCGTGGCTGAAATTTGAGTTCGTTTCTGTCCAAAGCGATATCACAGTTATTAGAAACGAAAATAGATAATTTTTGCGGCATTAATCTTAATGGGTGTATTTTTTCATTTGTTCAGACCACTGTTTATTTTTATTTTGGATTCTTAGCTATTTTAGCATTAGTTTTAAACTAAAATTAAAATTGAGAAATAAATTTCATTAGATCCTTTAACAAAAGTGGCTTTGCAATAATTTTGTGACACCAATTGTTTTTTGTGATTTCTTCTGCCCCGTTTGCAATTTAAAATTGATTCGGCTGTAAAAAAAAAAAAGGAAGAAGGAGGTGGATGGATGGGTATACATGATTGGCAAACAAAACAATACGATCATGTACCGATATTTATTATACAATTTGTTACAATAATACATCCCACGACGAGTGCAAGCCTAAAATACTTGTAAAATATTTGTATTTAAACGTGTACGATTTATATATATTTGTATATTGTACTAAATACTACGCAATATATTAAATTTTAACCGGTAATTAAATAAATTCATTGTATAAAATATAAAATCGCCGTCATACCATCAAACCTCCCGTACCTGTTACTGAAACAGTGTTACGGCCGGGTCGACGGTACAAACATTAACTACCATAAGGACCATAAAAAATAATGGGTTTTCCAAGGGGAAAACGGAAATCGTTTGAAAATCATTCACGTCTACGAGCGGCAGTCGCTGTTTGATGAGATGGTTTGATACAATTTTTTACGGTGTCGCCAACAAATCGTTTTTTTATCAACTGGTTCTCGAAGAACTCGATTATAAATCGTTTTAGCAACCACAGAAATAGCATTACTTTTCAAAATTTTTGCTATTTGCACACATAATTTTATTTTTATTTCATGTATTATTAATGGGATAATTTTTTTATCGATTTTTGAGGAATTCGATTATAAATCGAGTTTTTACTTAAAAAATTACGACGGACTACGAACACAGAAGCAACCACATGATTTTCGATCTATCAAATTTAACATTTTTAAAAAAAGCTGAAACAGCATTAATTCGCAAAATTCCAAAAAACTAAAAAAAAAAATTCGTTTGTTTTTCAATTTGGTGTAGTCGCACCAATTTTTTACTACCGTCACTAGATAAATGAATTTTTGTACTGAAATAGTGGTTTAGGTACATTGCAGCAAGTCTGCCCGAACAACTAAAGTGATGCTAAGCCACACCACACACTACGATCATAACATTCTGCTCCCTATGTTTTTTGTGTTTCTGTCAAGAGAAAAATCGTAAAGGTAAAAGTTTTAGGAAATCTCGTGATCTCAAAAAAAATACATCAAAAAATATAACTATCGCATTTATTGTTAAAATTTTATAAAACCTATGACAAGTTGAGGGTTTTGTCATACTTCAAAGGTGTGTCAAAAGTGGGCGCTGTAAGTACAATGACCCAGCCAGGACAAAAGGAGGTCCCACAAAGCGCCTACACCGGCCGCATTTGCGGTCGGGGTAGACGACGGATGGGGCCCACCTACGAAGGCTGTCCAGGCCTACACGAGATGAGGCAGGATAAAGAGGGATAATCCCCCTCGATCCCAAATCATTGAGGCCAATTTCTAGCCATAGAATAATGGCNTTAATAAAATAAATAGTTTGAATTATAATTCAATTTTTAAACTGCACCGAAACCGTTGTCTACGCCGTCACTGGGCAGTTTTCAAATGAAGTTGTATGTGTGTGCTAATCAGTGTTGCCGATTATTACATTTTTTAACCAATTGTATGAAAGTAATGCAGTGACAGAGTAATGAAAGATAATTTTGTACAAACAGGTTTGTATGATTTCGTGACATGGTATTTTAAAGTTCCCATAATTTAATTTTTTTAATTATTATTATTTTTTAATTTAATTTTAATGTGGCGGACAAAGTACTGAAATTTAAAAAAAAGTCAGTTGGTTTTTTTAAATTAACTTTTTTGTGATACTAACTTATGTTTCGAAATAATTATTTTTGCTGTTTTATTAAATATACTTACTTAATAAAAAAATAAAAACATTTAATAATCTGACAAATTTGAAATATTTTTTAAAATCATTTCAAGTTTTTAATAAAATTAAAACAATTTTTTTAAAGCACTGTGCTTAGTTTGTGAACTACATGTTAATCCACCTGATGTGATATGACAACCACCATTTTGGTTTATCAGTTTATAAGGTGTTTGTAATATGTAAACTGATGTAATTATACTAAATTTGTTTGTAATTAATTAATTTTTTTTCAAATTGCTCATATTTAAAAAAAATCGTTCAATTTCTCCAAATTAGTGAATTATTAATTCGAACTAATACGCTAGGCTATACAACAAGATTTAATTTGGATGGCACTGTACCACAGCAACAGATTAAAAAAAAAACAGATTTAATAGTGGATAATATTCCTCCATGATTTTTTTTTATAAAAATGCAAAATATTCTCATAATCAACAGAAAGTTAAAAAAAATAAAAATTTATACAAAATGAGACACTTTAATATAGTGTGGTTACATTTAAAAACTGAAAAATTGGAGAAAATTCATTTGATATTCATAAAATAGAAATGTTATAAAAAACGCCCTGTATACAATAGAACGACTAAGCTTCGTCTTTCACACTGCCGATACTTTAATTCTAACTATTGTCATTTGAAAATTATTACAAATTTAAATAGGCCTCGTTTTCCGCAAAATTTTGAAAACAATTTAACAATGCCACAACCAAAATATAAAAAAAAAATTTACACAATGATACACAGAATTTTAGAACATAATCAAACATCTACAAACAGACAGGATATTCCATTTTTCATTCTGTACATTAGAAAATCATTTTAAAATAGTTTTTTATCCCCTCCAACATTCGTTTGTTATTTTTTTTTTGTATCTCAAATAATAACAGAGCTATTTGCTACATTAATTATCCATTATCTACAAAACAACAAGGAGTACAACGATAAACATCAAATCGAATATTTTTGTCACTCCTGAACTTAAAAAAAAATAAAAAAAAATCAATAGGCTTCTATTCTAAGTTGACGCTTCGACTTTTACAAATTCATCGTCAGGATGTGAAAATGTGTGACACATCTCACATTCTGAGGATGACTTTGTAAAAACCGAAATATTGATGAAAAATAAAGAACACCCGCATAATTTTTTTGACCTCTACCCGACTAACCATCCACGGAAAAGCCAACAACTAAAAATCTAACGATGCAAAAATTCACAAGGCTAAAAATTAATATACGAGTATAAAACTGGAAAATAATCAACTTCCTTCCTCACGTTTCTTGAAATATAAAAAAATCAATACAATTTTTGACACGCCTTTCAGGAAAATGTTAAATTTACATTTACAAAAAAAATCACTCGATTGCTTTCATGCACGTCACTCGGCGTTACTTTTTAAGCAAAAACAATCGACGAAACCAAATTTTTCAAAAATCGTTTAAAAAACGATACCCGAACGTACCCCACTGGCGACACCGCTTACCCACTCTTAACCCCAGCAAACGCACTCGACCGCCGCTTAAACGCACGGTTCTACATAATTACCAGGAAACAGACCCGTTATACCATCCATAACACCTTCCCACCACCCGTCATCGTTCTTCTTCAGAACGTAAATGACGGCGCTCTCCTGGAAGCTTAACTCGTCATCCTTATCGGCGTAATAATCGTAGATCGCCACCACTGAAAAATCACACGGGAATCAGATCAGGCGATCCAGCCGATCGGATTACTAACCACCTACCTTTCTCTATGTAGTTCTTGGGCACCCAGCCGGGCAGGTCCTCCTCGTCAGGCACGATAGGCATAACGCCCGAGTTGCGGGGCCTGCCGAAGCCCTCGTGTTCGTCCGCCTCGGGCGGCGGAGGAGGAGGCAGCGGCGGGGATTGGGCCCCGCTCTGTCTGGCCATCGTCTGGGACAGGGCCTGGGATATGCGGTGGCCCTGGGCGTGGGACAGGGTGTGCATGCCGAGGCTACCCTGCGGGACAGGGCCGTGGTGGCCGCCCATCATCATCGGGTGGTGCTGGTTGGAGGAGAGCACCATTTCTTGGCTGTTGATGAGGGGCGACGGCGGAGCTGGAATTAGGTCGGTGTCGGCTGGTTAGAAGGAATTTTCAAAATTTTAGTAGCTCCGTTATCATTCGAGATACAAAAAAAAAATTCACTGTGTATAGGATGTACTTTTAAATAGGGGTTAAGTTTTTTAAGAGTAATAGTACATGTTTCAAAGAATACCAATCTGAATTTATTATTTTTTTTTTAATAAAATAAATAGTTTGAATTATAATTCAATTTTTAAACTGCACCGAAACCGTTGTCTACGCCGTCACTGGGCAGTTTTCAAATGAAGTTGTATGTGTGTGCTAATCAGTGTTGCCGATTATTACATTTTTTAACCAATTGTATGAAAGTAATGCAGTGACAGAGTAATGAAAGATAATTTTGTACAAACAGGTTTGTATGATTTCGTGACATGGTATTTTAAAGTTCCCATAATTTAATTTTTTTAATTATTATTATTTTTTAATTTAATTTTAATGTGGCGGACAAAGTACTGAAAATTAAAAAAAAGTCAGTTGGTTTTTTTAAATTAACTTTTTTGTGATACTAACTTATGTTTTGAAATAATTATTTTTGCTGTTTTATTAAATATACTTACTTAATAAAAAAATAAATTTGAAATATTTTTTAAAATCATTTCAAGTTTTTAATAAAATTAAAACAATTTTTTTAAAGCACTGTGCTTAGTTTGTGAACTACATGTTAATTCACCTGATGTGATATGACAACCACCATTTTGGTTTATCAGTTTATAAGGTGTTTGTAATATGTAAACTGATGTAATTATGCTAAATTTGTTTGTGATTAATTAATTTTTTTTCAAATTGCTCATATTTAAAAAAAATCGTTCAATTTCTCCAAATTAGTGAATTATTAATTCGAACTAATACGCTAGGCTATACAACAAGATTTAATTTGGATGGCACTGTACCACAGCAACAGATTAAAAAAAAACAGATTTAATAGTGGATAATATTCCTCCATTAATTTTTTTTTATAAAAATGCAAAATATTTTTATAATCAACAGAAAGTTAAAAAAAATAAAAATTTATACAAAATGAGACACTTTAATATAGTGTGGTTACATTTAAAAACTGAAAAATTGGAGAAAATTCATTTGATATTCATAAAATAGAAATGTTATAAAAAACGCCCTGTATACAATAGAACGACTAAGCTTCGTCTTTCACACTACCGATACTTTAATTCTAACTATTGTCATTTGAAAATTATTACAAATTTAAATAGGCCTCGTTTTCCGCAAAATTTTGAAAACAATTTAACAATGCCACAACCAAAATATAAAAAAAAAATTTACACAATGATACACAGAATTTTAGAACATAATCAAACATCTACAAACAGACAGGATATTCCATTTTTCATTCTGTACATTAGAAAATCATTTTAAAATAGTTTTTTATCCCCTCCAACATTCGTTTGTTACTTTTTTTTGTATCTCAAATAATAACAGAGCTATTTGCTACATTAATTATCCATTATCTACAAAACAACAAGGAGTACAACGATAAACATCAAATCGAATATTTTTGTCACTCCTGAACTTAAAAAAAAATAAAAAAAAATCAATAGGCTTCTATTCTAAGTTGACGCTTCGACTTTTACAAATTCATCGTCAGGATGTGAAAATGTGTGACACATCTCACATTCTGAGGATGACTTTGTAAAAACCGAAATATTGATGAAAAATAAAGAACACCCGCATAATTTTTTTGACCTCTACCCGACTAACCATCCACGGAAAAGCCAACAACTAAAAATCTAACGATGCAAAAATTCACAACTTACGAGGCATGCTCATGTGGTGCTCCTGCGGGTAGTTCCCCGAATTAGGCGGGGGCGGCGGAGGTGGCGTCTGAGGCTGGATCACCTGCTGTTGCTGTTGCTGGGCGATGGGGTGCACCATGCCGACCTGCGGCGGCGACGACTGGTGTTGGTTGGCCAACGGCAGCGTGCTGTAGCCGGGACCCCTCTCGCTTGCTCTCCTGGGATGACCGATCGGATAGTTGGGGGCGTAATGGCTGGGGACTTGAGGCGGGGCAACTGCTGGCGGCGTGCGGTACTCCCTGCTGCCCTTGCTGAGGGTACCTCCGGATACCGACACTGGAAGGGCATCGGTACATTAAAAATACAAATAAAGTCGTCGTTTGCTAGATCCCGGATTATGTGCTATTTATAGAAATTGAAAGAAGACTTGGAAAAATATTGAAATTATAAAATGAGATTCCACTTTTCTTAAATCGATATTTATAACCTGAACTTGTGTTTAAAATAAAAGACATGATCCTAAATAGACATTTACCTTTGCTCGACGTTCTCGAAACCTGAGGAGGCGTAGGGGGCTTTGTGGTAGGAGCCGGCCCTACCATTGGATTTCCCGATATGGAATTAAGGGAGTGGATACTACCTTGGCTGGAACCTCTTTGTTTTTGCCTTGGTGTTCCGCCACTTCTCACACCATGCCCAATATCGTCGAAAACTAAAAAACAAACTATAAATTTCACTTCAACACCACTCAAACCGAAATTTACTTGAATAGTCGATCGGTTTCCGCAAATACTTTATAGGCTTCTCGGGATTGGCCGGTGCGATGATCTTGTACTGTCGACTAGTAGATTTGTTTGCTGTTAACACTCCAATTTCTCTCCTCGCCACCTTCTCCTTGTGTATCATGACAGTTTGCGAGATGTGATTCATTTGACTCTCCATTTCCGCCAGTTGTGCTGTCTGCAGCTCCAGCAGCTGCAGGAAATTATAAGCCAAAGTGTTGATTTGATAGGCGACACTGGCTAAGGATTGCGTTGTGTAGTTTTTCGTTTCTTCTAGGGCCAAACGTTTGTTTTCATTTTGGAAGTAGTTCGCTTCGCAGTACTCCGCGACCCTCTGGAGGTTCGTGTGGTTGTCCGTAAGGTTGCTTCGTCCCTCTGGTATCTCGGACCGGAGCAAGGCAGCTAGTTCGGCCATGGTGTCGCAGTCGCTTACAACTCCTGATTCTCTGCTGGGGCTTCCTAGAACGTATTTTTCGATGCAATTTTCATAAATTACTGGTTTTGGTCACTTACCATGGGCATAATACACACTCATAATAATACGAAAAGAGCAACTGCGTTGCTTGACATACTAGTGGCAAGTCTTGAGCACCTAATAACAAAATTTAATTATTGCAATTTATGATGTGGTACAAAATTACAATAACAATTACAACTTATGCCCTGCCCATTAAAAATAACCCCAAAAGTCAGGGAATTTAATTATAATTGTGACGTCAGCCACTTTATCGAGCAACAAAATGGCCACCTGATGGCGTGAGATGAATGTGGGCGATCTTGCTAAGTTACCACACCTATAGATAGATGGCAGTGGCAACCATTTCTGTTCTCCGGATCTCCGGGTTTATTGGGAGAAAAAAGCAATTCTGATAGCAAAGTGATAGATGTAGAGAGAAACTGATTGCAGTTTCGAAATATTCGGAGACAGTCCTAAATTTTTTCAGATTTTTCTCAGCACCAGTACTATTTTAGAAAAGTCATCGAATATGATAGTAATATGTTACGAAATAAAAATAGGTAGAGGTATCATATTTATTTGAAAACTGAAAGAAAGTTATTAAAAATTTCGTATTTTAACAATAAAAATTAGCCATGATAATTCTAATTTCACCCGTTCAGGCAATTATAATAGGTATTGTTGGATTTCAATTGTTTATTGTTTATCGGATCTGTTTCAGATTACAAGAGAGACGAAAACACATTCTGAATTTCAAATTATCTCATTCTCTTTCCCATCTTTTTTAATTGGATAAATAATAATTCACTTATGAAAAAATTACTTCTTCATTAAAATTTTCTCCCCTTTAGTTCCTATAATAAAAATCCTCCGGATGACAATCAAATTAAAACTCTCTTTGTGCCCCACAGCTCCTGGAATAACATTAAAGTCCCGTTTCCCTAACGAATACAAATTTATGTATAAAATCATATCAGGATGGATCAGGAACTTTTGTCTCGTAAGCCACGCCGCCTCGCTAGCGAGATAATGAAGCGAAAGGGTTCCCCTGATAAATATTTATAATTTATGTGATTCTTGTATTTCCTGGAGGCGATTCAACTCTAGAAACATACATTGTGTAATTTCGAGTACATTCTGATGTCATATAAAATGAATTTTAGAGTACAATCGATTCAAAGGTCTCGTCATTTTGGAGAAAATAATGTAAAACGCAATATGTAGATTGCGCAGTTTGCTTTGAAAACAATTGATAATCGCTTATTTGACATAAAGATGTACATAATAATATTCCTCAAAGTTGATTGTTAAAAATGTAAATTTATACTATTTATAATAAACAAATGTTAAAATCTCTAACAATAAGTAATAAAGTTATCAGGAAAAAGTGAAATAAAAACATATGTCCCTATTTGCAATTGAAGGTAGAAAAATATTTTAATTATCATATTGACGAAACATTGTTTACGTTTATTTTTGTTTTGCTGATTTTACTCATTTCTGTAAGTGCCCAAATATATATTTTCTAGGTTTTTGAGTATTGTTGTTTTTAATATCGGTAAAAAAAAATTATTTTTTATGATAGATTAGATGCTTCTATATAGTATAGATTACATGATTTTACAATAGTTTCATTTTCAACAATTTTTCTTTGATTTTTGATAGGTGAGGTAATTTTTAGTTGAATTAAATGATTTTTCGTTGGGTTAGGTGATTTTCATTGGATTAGATTGTTTTTTTGTTGCTTAGACACTTTTTCGATGTGTGACATAGTTTTTTGTGGGGTTTGAGCCATTTTCGTGTACAAATTTTTCCCTTGAGATGTGATATTGATGCACGAAGCAAAATAATTAAATTCGTGACATTTTATCGGTATAGATGCAAGTAGAGTTTCTAGACTTTTTTATTACAGGCTGAAGCGAGCAGTCTATCCATTCCTAAACCAAGTATATTAATATCGTAGTTTGTAGCAACGGTGGTTTGTGGTAGCAACTGTTAGAACACAAATTGACAAGAATCGCCTGTATCTCAACATCTTTGAACTTTTTACTGGAAAAATGTAGATTATAAAATTGTACCACTCAATTTTTTTTTCGATTTTCACGTTCTGAACGTGAAATTCTATCAGTACGGGCGCAAATAGAGCTTCCAGACCATTTTACTACTACTATCTGAGCCACAAGCCACCCACGCCGGCCTCGCGAATAAATAATGCACATCCCCCTCGACTCCGGCCCAAAGCCGCCCGTCCGAGACGCCGAATATCGAACCTTCGCCCTACTGGCCGCCGCCAGCCCATGCGTTGGCGAAAGGGCTGTCCCAGATGGGCCGGCGGCGCGCCGTCTCCGTGGCGGGCGGCGTGGGTCGGCCCGCACCACGTCCCGTTGACGTCACGGGAGGATCAATACCTGGCGGGGCCCGCCGGAGCAGTCATCACCGCGAAGCCGAAGTGTCCAGAGGGTATCCGATCGCGTCACATGCCTCTCGCCATCGCCCATGTGCGGGCTAGCCTTTAGGACGAGAAACAGCCCCTCGCAAAAGACCTCCCTCCGGTGGGGCGACTGCTGTCTGCTGGCCGGGAGCGCCCGGCGCCTCCGCCATTGACAATACCCACCGCACAGTGGTCCCCGAGATATATTTTTGTTATTTTTTTACACGCGTCTAGTGCTTGTTAAGTGTAATATACAGGTAAAACCGACCCCTCCCCCAAAGCCCTGTGTAGATCGATTTTGTCCACTTTCACTAGGACCAGTAGTATTCTTAGTGGTGTTTGGTATACCTATTTTTATATCTTAATCATAAGAAACACGTAATAGTACGCAAAAAAGTTACTTTGTATCAACCTTTAGGTATATTTCATGATGACGCCATTTTTAATTGTTATATGAACGAATTGTCTTCTTTTAACTGGCCTAATATTATATTTTGTGGAAAAGAATAGAACCGTAACACGTAGGTATATTTGGTTTTTGGTTTTTGAACGTAACGATGAAATAAATTGGGATACATTTTAGGTTTCTACCTAATCATTACAATCAGTCATGTGCAGAAATGTACTGGCCCTTCGTTTCAATTACTTAACATATACAGGGTGGTGATGTATAGAATGAGTACCATAAAGACGTATTAAACTAAAAAAAATACAGATGGTTGGTCCAATAACAAAAAAACTTCGCTTTTCTAAGTTATTTAATTATTAAAAGAAATTGAAGATAAGTGGAATCGTTACTGAAATATCCTAGCATCACGATGATTTAGTAGAACTTGAAAAAATCGACCAAATTTAATTAAGTCATTTCAATTAACAAAAAAGGAATTTAAACAATAAAAGTCAAGTTTTCAATGACAGGGAAATGCACATTTTTATGACAACCAAAATCTTGCTTTCTCCTGATGATTTGCGAGATCTTAATGACGTATTATTTAAAAAGTGTCCACCCTGTATATGTATAAGTACGGAACTGTTGTTATAACAGACTGAATATTAAAAGAAAATTTTATGTTCTATTTCTATTGAAATTTTAGTTTCCAACGTTAAAAAATCTTATTCTGACAAAGAGGTCATTTTCTATCCCAATTTACTCTTGTCATAAAAAGCACAACACAGGTTCAAATTTCATCTGTAAACTTTTTAACTTCAATGTAATACCTCACACACCGTGCTGTCAGTTATGAAGCGTTTTCAAGAGTCGTACTTAGAAAAAAATGTAACACTTAAAACGTAGTCTAAATGTAAACATATTTAGAAATGAATGGAATGGAAAAAAGGGGTAGTGACTTGAGCAGATCATATTTAATTATTTAGCGAGGCAGGATGTTATTTTACGAATTTATTTACAAACGCCAAGGCTGTCGCGTGTCCTGTAAAGCGGTCGATCACTTTTATAAGCTAGATGTGAAACCAAAATGGATTAACGGCTAAAAATAGTCGCGATTTCCAGTCGATATGGATTATGCACTGGGTGGAATTCCATCGATAACGCGAGTGACGCTTTCTTCTGTTTACAAATACAGGAATTGATGATCGATATAATCTAATTCATACAGACCATTAGTTTAGATCGAGTCTTAGATCCTACATTTAGCCTTATTTTGTTCCAGGATAAAAAATGATAAACATAGCAGGAATCATATCAATTATCATTTTCTACGTTTTGATTTTGGGCGTCGGTATTTGGGCAGGAAGGAAAAAAGAGGAGGGGAATGACTCGGAAGAGGAAGTCATGCTGGCAGGGAGGAACATCGGGTTGTTCGTAGGAATTTTCACAATGACAGGTGAGATACTGTACAGGAAATTATTTGTTTTTCAATAAAGCATGCATCGGGCTAAATATCTCATTTGCAGAAAATATGAGCTAAAATAAAACTAAAATACCTGTAAGGTTCACTAGATATTTGCGTTCAATTCAATGCTGGGCGGAGCTGTAGTCCGCAGAGTAGTTATTTCATATCACTGTTAAAAATACAAGAGGGTATATCTAAATTCTAGAATATGGTTTCTTTAGATCCTAAGAACGAAATAATTCCCTTTCATTTCAGCGACATGGGTTGGGGGCGGTTACATCAACGGCACCGCCGAAGCAATCTACACGTCAGGTCTAGTCTGGTGCCAAGCCCCATTCGGCTACTCCCTGAGTTTGGTCCTCGGTGGGATTTTCTTCGCCAACAAAATGCGCCAACAGGGCTACGTAACTATGCTGGATCCCCTGCAGGACTCCTTCGGCGAGAGGATGGGAGGTCTACTCTTCCTCCCGGCCCTCTGCGGGGAAGTCTTCTGGGCGGCCGGCATCTTGGCCGCCCTGGGGGCCACTCTGAGCGTCATCATAGACATGGACCACAATAGCAGCGTCATCTTCAGCGCCTGCGTGGCGGTGTTCTACACCCTGTTCGGGGGGCTGTACGCGGTGGCCTACACCGACGTCATTCAGCTGTTCTGCATCTTCATCGGCCTCTGGATGTGCATACCCTTCGCTTGGACTAATGAACACGTGGCGTCGCTTTCGTCGATGGACGTGGATTGGATAGGGGAGGTGAAGAAGGAGGAGATCTGGTATTACATAGACTACGGGCTTCTGCTGGTGTTTGGGGGTATCCCTTGGCAGGTGTACTTTCAGAGGGTGTTGTCTAGTAAGTCCGCTGGGAGGGCGCAGGTCCTGTCGTACGTGGCTGCGTTTGGATGTGTTGCTATGGCCATACCACCGGTTCTTATAGGGGCTATTGCCAAAGGAACAGGTATATGCTCAATTGGGAATGGGGCATAGCTTAATTTTTAAAGAGATTGCCTAGAGTTTTAGATCGAAAATGAAAAGCTTTTTACCAAAGCATGTTTCTCTTAATCTCCTTATTTTGACAGGAAGAATCTCCATTACCATTAAGCCATTTCCCATTCTTCATGAAAGACCAAGCCACATAGAATAAATACTAAATCTAATAATCGACTATATTTTTCAGCATGGAACGAAACAGGCTACAAAGGCCCTTACCCCCTAACAGTGGAGGAGACCAGCATGATCCTGCCCATGGTTCTGCAGTACCTCACGCCGAGCTTCGTCTCCTTCTTCGGACTAGGAGCCGTGTCCGCAGCTGTCATGTCATCTGCCGATTCGAGCGTCCTCTCGGCTAGCTCCATGTTCGCAAGGAACGTCTACAAGTTGATATTCCGACAAAAGGCGTCCGAAATGGAGATCATCTGGGTCATGAGGGTCTCCATTTTGATCGTCGGCTTTCTGGCTACCGTGATGGCACTAACTATACCCTCTATATACGGCTTGTGGTAAGTTAATAAATTTAGGGATGTGTTCAAGTGAAGAAACGTAAATTTTTTTGTATAGGTCCATGTGTTCCGATTTAGTCTACGTAATACTCTTCCCCCAACTACTCATGGTGGTTCACTTCAAGGAATACTGCAATACCTACGGTAGCCTAGCAGCCTACATCATAGCTTTCCTCGTGAGGGTCTCCGGAGGGGAACAGTTGATGAACCTAGACCCCATCATAAAGTACCCGGGCTGGGACGAAGAGAACCAAAGACAACTGTTCCCTTTCAGGACTCTAGCAATGTGCATGTCTCTAGTAACCCTCGTGGCGGTGTCCTGGTGGACCAAATGGGTGTTCGAATCCGGTAGACTCGCGCCTGGGTACGATTTTTTCCATTGCGTGGTGAACATTCCAGAGGATATCCAAAGAGTCGGGGATCCTCTGGAGGAAGGCGAACAGATGTCCGTGATGGCATCTGGAGCGATGGGAAAGCTTTACGGAGCCGCCACTTTGGTGGGGAAAGACGAAAGGAACGGTAGGATCAATCCGGCCTTGGAGGCGGACGATGATATTCCCGCTTCGGAGGTGGATAAGTTGAGGGAGTCCATAGGCAGCGGAGGGGGTATTAGGTCGGTCACCAACCCATCGGATAACTCTCAGACAACGCTATGAGGCTAGTAAGGTGTTTTTGGTCTCGCAATAAGTCAATATAGTTTTTTGCGTTAGGTGCTACTTAGGATAATAACTGCTGGATCAGTTATTCTTTTAGATTGGTTGTGGGTCGAGGTAGTTGACAAATTGGTGGGTTATTTTTTTAGGTTACTAGCAAAATATTTTGTTAAAAATTTATTTTTCCTGCCGAATCTTTGTCGTTAGTACACAAATATTTTTGCATCGAACTCTACCCAGGATGATAGTTGTATCAAAGAGTATTACTGAAATATTATTAACTGTACAGAAAAATATACTTCTCAATTTTTTTTTTAGATTGCTTTAGAAGTGAAATTATTAATATTTTTGTAGCGATAATGTTTAGGAAATAGTCTATAGCTACGAATTGTTCTAGTAATGCTCTGAAGTTTCCTAATGGAGGTTAAATTGTTGTTACTATTTACTATACAGGGTGTAGCGTTGGATGGGGTCATATTTATAAGGAAGCTGCCTTTTCGAAAAAAACGTATAAGTTTGTTTTGAAAACCCGATAAACCGAAAAGATGCTAAAATAAAGCGTTGGCATTTTCTGATAAGCGCACACATGCGAGTTCGGGAGCTGCCCGGTAACGGCGTAGACAAGAGTTTAAATGCGGTATAAGGCTGACCCCCACCTAAGTATCACCCCGTATATCTCGGATAAGGAGGAGTGAAAAATAGGATATTAGATAACTTGTTGATAAGTGAATCCGCGATACCCTTATTGCTCTCGCTGTTGTTTTGTTGTCGATAAGAGAAAATTCTTTATGTGGAAAATATGGATAGAGATGTTGATTTTTCGCATTCTGTGTTTTAAATTTAAATCATATATCGATGTGTAATAATTGTGGTGAAACAATAACTAGAGTACACGTATATATTTACTTGTAATCCTACCCGTATACTTCTCGCAGAGGTAAAAGACTAAATAAATACTCATACATATCAGACAGAACATATCATTTTATATAATATAGAGAGAGAATTATTGGAGAACGAATACAAATGAGCTTAGGAATAACATTTAATTTCACTTCTGCAGGGGAATTATACTAATTGATCGGATTCTCAGGAGTACCTGCTCTTGTACCAGGAGAACGACCACTTAGGATAATTTTTCTTTGGAGAAGAATTCATCAGTATTCCACAATTCACTTGTACATAGTTAATAAACAGATAAGTTTTGTTTCTGGGCGCATGTAAAACACTTTGTTTGTTTCCGAGCACAACAAATTTCTTCGAGGACCGTAGTGAAAAAAAAAGATATCTCTCTGTTACGAATTATTTGACATTTAAATGATTATTTACCAAAGTAGAAATCAAATTCCAGCTTACTCGGCCTTAAGAATTATTTCTGACAGATCCCGGCTGGAATTTGGTTCTTAAAAATTTCCCTAGGTGTGGTTACCCTACTTTTTAGAAACTGTATAGGATGTATTCTAGGAAACTGTTAATTATGACCACTATTGTTAATGTTTATCTATAGTCTATAGTTTCGATAAATACGAGAAGATATATTTGGTATGTTGTGTACACAAAAACTGAACGATAGACAGGTTCATCTTCGTCTAGTCCTTGCTAAATACTCAGTCTGAAATTGTACATGTATAGGATATTGTTGTAATGAATTAAAAGAATCGTACAGAAATCGTGCGTATTGTTTTCTTTGTCCCAGTTTTAGTAGTGCCATCATCGTTATATGCCCCTTACAAGTTCAGTTCCTCAAGTTCCCCTTTTTTAATACAATGTAATCTACAACCATAGAAATTATATGTTATTCTAATGTCCGAGAGTGAATCGTACATTCCAGGTCTGTACTTGATTTCCACACGTGATGAAAAATAGACTCGTTTGTAGAAGGTTAATTTTGTACACAATTATTTAACAATTTTAATATATCAGGTACGTGCTTTTAAAGTAATAATATGTAGATATAAAATTTTTAATTTTTATTTCGGCAGCCCCATGGCAAATATTTTAATGTGTGATAGACTAGACCTGTCATACGCAATTGGGGTCACTGAATCCGAATTTGATGTCCGTTTGCGGGAGTTAGTTCAAGTTCAAGGTCAACTCTTGTTTTTTCCAGAGAAATACAATCTTTGTCCCCGGAATCTCAAAGAGAGAGCAATTTTACGTTCGGATACGTGGTTGAACTATTTTTTAAAGCCACTTCAAAAACTTAGTAAATTAGTATGGTAATCTAGCTAGTCTATCACACAATGGATTTTTTTTCACATGGAGCAGTGCAATTATTGATTTGATAAGACAGAAGTATTTTTGAATTTGTTAGAATTATTGGATTTATTAGAAGCAAAATATTATATAACCTAGCAATATAAATTTTGCGTGTAGTTTTTGGGCCAACTTTCAGTAAGCCAAAATCGTATTTGTACTATTATCAGCAGATGTTTAATCCTTGTTTCGAATGAAATATTAGAAAAAAATAATAGATTAATAATAATTTAATTAAAAAAGTTACGTAAATTTCTTTTATATGCCACAGTGTAAAGATGTGTCAATAATTTGTTTTCAAATATTATGAATTGTGTAGACTGTAGGAATGCAAAGATCATTTTGTTCGTTTATTGAATTTTTGGCGATGGAAATGAAAATGTAACTGCTGAACTTTTGTAAATTTATATTAATTGGACACTAACGTATGTCCAATTAAATATTTGTTATCTCTATTATATTATTTATTTGTCGTAAAAATTTAGATTTCTTCTTTAATTTTGTTTAACTCTTGATACTGCATTTAGAATCGTCTCTATTATATTATTTTATATATTACAAAATCGGCGCGATGTCCTGAATCCGTCCCTGGTTTTTACGCCATGTACGATTTATTAGCGGACATTTTAAATTTGCCCACTTGGATCATCAATGTTCAGGATTCCTTCTTCATAGTTATATCAATTAGCAGAGCTTGTAATACAACATAAAATAAAGAAAAATTACTTGTTGTCAGCTCTCATCAGGCGTATTCGATTTAGGCGTATAAAAATAAATTTTACATAAAAATAATCATCTGTATTTAAATTACAAAAATTTTTACAAAAGGTAGGTATTTAATACTGCAGAGACTAATAAATAAATAAATCTAATTATATACATCGTTCATTTTGCCCGTCCGACCGTACCATCTAGTATGAGTATCCTCCGTTGCTGGCGTAGCCCTGACCTCCTCCATTGCTGTAGCCGCCGTTTCCACCCCCTGAGCTGTAGCCTCCGTTTCCACCCCCTGAGCTATAACCTCCGTTTCCACCACCTGAGCTGTAACCCCCATTTCCGCCACCTGAGCTATAACCTCCATTGCCTCCAGAGCTGTACCCGGCACCGTTTCCTCCAGAGCTGTATCCTCCACCGTTTCCACCAGAGCTATATCCGCCACCGTTACCTCCAGAGCTGTATCCGCCACCTGAGCTGTAGCCACCGTTCCCGCCGGAACTGTATCCGTTGGATCCGCCGTTTCCGAAGGAAGGAGCGCCGTAGCTGCTCGAAGGGGCGGGAGCTGGGGCACCGTACGAAGAGGACGGTTTGGATGGAGCACCATAAGAAGAAGACGGCCTGCTGGGTGCGCCGTAGGAAGAAGAGGGTCTGCTAGGGGCGCCGTACGAGGAAGATGGCCTCTTACCGTTTCCGTTTCCATTTGAAGGGGCTCCGTAGGAAGAGGAAGGTCTCTTGCCGTTTCCGTTACCGTTGGAGGGGGCGCCGTACGAAGACGAGGGACGGGAAGGTCCTACGGGTGTTCCGTAGCTGGTGGAGGGTGGTAGGTAGCTGGTGGAGCCGCCGTTGCCTTTGCCGAAACCGTTGCCGTTGGAGGGGGCGCTGTAGCTGGGGGATGGGGCAGCTGGAGCGCCGTAGCTGGAGGAGGGGGCAGCTGGTGCGCCGTAGCTGGAGGAAGGAGCGCCGCCTCCGAAGCCACCTAGAAATAAAAAAGATATGCGCGAGGAGTTTCTTTTTGACGCTGTGATTTTTCTTGTCAAATTTATACAAAAAATGCAAAACTGCAAAAATAATTATTTTCTTATTATTTTCCATCAAAACGTCTGTAGTTAACGGCATGACCTACTTTTTTTGTATTTACGTAGAAATATTGCATGAAAGCATTTATGTTTTGACTCGAGCCGACAGTTCAAATTTTTTCATTACCTCCGAAACCTCCTCCACCGTTGGAACCATGACCATTACCGAACCCTCCCCCATTGGAAGGAGCTCCGTAGCTAGAGGACGGAGCGGATGGGGCGCCATAGCTAGAGCTGGGGGCGGCAGGGGCTCCGTAGCTAGAGGAAGGAGCACCACCTCCGAATCCGTTGCCGCCACCGAATCCTCCGTGTCCGTTTCCACCTGTGGATGGAGCTCCGTAGCTGCTGGAGGGTGCTGAAGGTGCCCCGTAGCTGCTGGAAGGCGCGCCGCCTCCGAAACCGTTGCCGCCTCCGTGTCCGTTGCCACCGCCATTGGATGGGGCGCCGTACGAGGCTGACGGAGATGGGGGGAGGTAGCTGTTCTGGGGGCGACCCGAAGGGTACCCATTCGAAATGGGAGCTGGAATAGTTCATATATAACAAATTCTCCAGGTGGGTGCAACAAATAGGGACAGTGTTTAAAAATTTTATAGTTTGAAAATCCTATTCGATAAAAATATTTTATTGATATTAACAATACATCTTAAAAATAAGATGTTTTCTAATGATTCAGACTACATTGCGTAATAGTGTTCAAAAAGAAGCATTTTCAATTAAATCGTTTTTTCTACACAAGAGAGTTCACCTTTATTTTAATTTAGTAAATTACATGCTGAAGAAAATAATTATGTAAAGAAATAAAACGTGCATTACAAATATAAAATAAAATTAATGAAACGAAATTTTAGAGATTGATGCATAATACAAAAATAATTTTCGACAATTTGTCAATATTTTGATATAAAATGTAATTATACCAATTATTAGAGAAATCTAGAACACAGAATCTTTTTTCGAGAACCTTGTATGTTAATAAATAAATGACCCAGTCTTACTAAATTATTTTTAACACAATAATGTTAGGTTGACGAAATTTGGATGTCACTTTTTTAATTTTTTATTGGTGATCTTGCGGCAAATAACGTACATCCTATAATGCTAAGTATAACGCGAAACTATGTTACTAGATTTTAAAACTAGTGACAGCAGAAAGTGAGTCATTAGGCAATACCAAAATCATCAGCAATACAACGATTACTTATTACGTTACTTCACATGCGGGCGTGTCGAAAAAACTAGAAAACAAGACGCTTGTACGGGGGATTTTGCGAGGTTTTTACAAAACCAAATAACAATAATATACATCCCCGCTCGACTGGCTCTAAATTATCATGCATTAGCATCTGGATCATAGTAATCGAGATTCGAATTTCATCTCTGGCTGTAATTACAGCGTCACGCGAAAACGAAACTGCCTCTTAAGCTAAATTAAGCAAGAAAAATGGATTTCTCTTCTGGAATAATTAATGGGGATAACGATAATTGTTGAGACCGCTCACCTTCGCGCTTAGCGAGCCGTCCGGCATTAGATGCGCCAAGCACGCAGCATAGGGCCAGAGTCTGAAAAATAGAAATGGAAAGGAATTAATTGAGGAGACGGGATACACAGAAACTTGAATAATAACGTAACTACTATAAACGTAAATGGTATTCTTAAATACAGGTTTATTTGTTCTATTCGTATATGAAAGTACTGAAAGAGTCCCTTACTCATTTCTCTATACAAGGTGGTCTACATGTACGTTCCAGTAATGAAGGAGGTGTTTTTATGGATAATTTTAAGCAAAAAGTTTCTTTAATCACCTGCTCTAAAGGTTCAGTTTTAGAGATACCTATACGATGTTAAAGCTCTCTTAAAATTCGTATATATCTCAGTATCTCTGTTACTGATTGATATAACAATACTGACTTATAGAATTGTCATCTTTACTTACTTAAGTCGCCAGTCCAATTAGCATCATTAATTAGCATCAACAATCGTTTGATATATTTGCGTAAATGTGATATTTTTAATAAATTGCATCCTATATTATCACCCTGCATCTAAAAAACTAAGCCCTTTAAGACATTGTTTATTTTTTTTCTTAAAATGGTCTAGAAGTCTAGAGGATCATCTCTTTATTATTGGAACATCAGCATATTTAATATTTTTTAATCTATGACAAAACCGGTGCCATATTTATCTAAAATAGAACCTTTGCAGGTTCTGTTACCAAATTATATGTTACTTTTTATAGAAAGTTTCGAATTTTTATGAAAATCGGATCAAGTTGAGAAACAAAAAGAAATCATTATAACTTTTTTCGTTTGAATTTAGAGATCGACCTGCAAGAACTGATTTCACATTTGCCAGTAAGTAATAGAATAAATAAAGAGTTAATAAGTATCGTATGTGTGTGAGGAAACAGAAAGCTCTTTTTAGAATGTTCAGCTCATTCAAGACATCACGTTTAATAATAATTACTCGCCAATTGAAGAAAGTTTGAGGAACTAGCTGCTTTTTCCCCAAATAACTGAAAACAATCAATTGTCATTCGCATTATTTTTTAATAGTTTTATTACATAATTTCTATGTTCGCAAGGACACTCCAAAGATTTTATAATCACGTTATTGAATTAAAAGTAAATAAAATTCAAGACACATCAACTACTTTTAACCTTCAGGCAACTGTTTCCCACGATTTAGAAAAATACCGTCATATTTTCGGGATAATTACAGATTATTTTCATATTAAAAACGGATAATCTCTTTTTATTTTCTTTCCTTTTATCCCATTAATTCGTATTTATCGAGTTTAAATGCCCAAAATGCATCATTTCTGATTGATTTTTGACTTTTTTTTCGCGACTTCCCAAGATTTCCAAAACCGATCCGCGAAAACCACACCATCTACACTGAAATCGACAGTTCTTCGCGCCACTTACCACTAACTGCAATCCACGCATTTTCTCGCACTTCACTAACTACACCTGGAGGGAATTCAAGTCCAGCAGACTTCGGCGTCGACGAAGTCAATGTCTGGGTTCCGTCCTCTCAGTTATTTATACAATGCCCCACGATGGGTTCGGTGAAAGTAAAATTGGAGTCTCCTCGCTGCTCTCCCACACGTTAGAGATGCTGGAAGAAGCGTCCCCGTCGGAAGGGATGCTCGTCGGCGACCTTGGACGTATCGTCTCATCTTCAGCGGGTTATCGGCGGGTCAGAGGTATTTTGAAACGGTTCGCGAGCAGTCGGCTCCGAAATGGGTTCATGCTAGTTGGGTCGGCTTCGTTGGGTAACTTCTGGGTGGTCGTTACTGATTTTTGATATCGATGGTAGCAGGAATATCAAGCACATTTATTTAGAGAGTCAAAATTTTATGTACAAGTCTTATTTTATTAAATTTTTCAATTAAGTTCTTTTAAAAACGGCGAAAATTATATCGGAGATACGCAACGTCTTCAAAATTCAAAAGGAATTGAAGGTAAGAATTTAACGCAGACGCAATAAGCGCAATAATCTGATCCAAAACATGTTTCCTCAAAATTTCACCTTCATTTAGTGCTCTTATTAGTTTTTTATAAAAATAAAGTACCTCAATTGGAAGATTTACCGTTTTCGAGATAAGAGCCTTACAAATTTTATAAAAAAAAAAAATAAATATTTATAGAAAGAGTTTCGCAAACTTTTAGATTGTAATATATACATTACAATACCAGGAAATACGCATTTCAATTATTGTCAGTGTCGTAGGTATGGGAGATAATTTTTTTTTGAAGAGTAACTTCTACAAATATGACTTGTTTTCAAATATTTAAACATAGACTGCTAAGTTGTACATTTAGATTTAGGGAAAATTTAAATATTTATTTAAAATTTTTGTTTTTCCTTAAATTTTCGAGTAAATTACTCAAATTTTTAAATTTAATGTTTATCTTTTTCTTTTAAAATTTAGTTAATTCTTTTTATTTTACCTTATCCTGTAATTGGGACTTGTCCCGTTGGATATTGTAATTTCTAAATAAATAAATAAATAGGCTACTAGTGTACCACTTTATTTATTTTTTTTCGAATACACCTATAATTATTTTCTTAATTTAATTATTTTTTGAGAGCATCATGGAAATGAACAATTTTCAATTCTCCGCTCTGGGAAATGTTACTTAAAATGATGTGTAAGAACAAATAACCAAAGTTAACACAGTTACTCTTATTACTTTCAAAACNCTTATTTCTTTCAAAACTAGGTTAATCAGAACAGCACAATATACCATCACATATAAGACGGAATCGGTTTTCTACCTCATTAAGCTATTCTTTCCGAACAAACAAAACCATTAATTCGTCCTCATCATAATGGTTTTTGTCGTTAAATTATCGAGTAGGAAGCGTTCTTCTTCCTCTTAATTTTTTTCCAAGGTAAAATATTAGGTATATACAGTTATTTTTTTAATGATTAGATATGTTTTATGTATTTGCCGACCGTTTGTGAACTGTACCGTAAAATAATTCGAAGCACATCGGCCTACATACGAATCTTAATTAGCGTGCCTAAATATTTGTCGATTAAATTAACAGCAAATAAATTAGTTCTGTTTCAGAGCTCATATAACAATGTTTTTTTCGGATTTTTCGCCGACGACTTTGCAATGTTATGCGAATGATAAAAATGCTTCTTCAGGAATTCCTGTGCTTCATCAATATTCTTCCAGCGTTACAATACAGTCATGACTTCATCCAAATGTCCTATTTGAATCGAATACTTGAGCGTATGTGTAATTATTTTTTTTTACTGTCGACAGCTACTTTATTTATCGAGAATTTTTTCTAATTGGGAACAAGGCAGTATTGATTTGCTGCCTACTTACTGATCCACTGATAATTAGTATATCCAAAGTAATTAATGTTACTTTTAAGGATGATTTCGACAATTGTTATAGCGTTACGAAAGGAGAACAGCTCATAAGTCAATATTTTTTACTGTTTACAAATTGGAAACGATGTTGCAACTCTGTGGCTATCAGAGATTTTTTGCACAACCTAAGTGGGATATAGGTAAATCAGAACAAAACGTGTCAACAATATATTTTCAGGTTTTGATTATTTAATTTCAACATGTTCATAATCCACCTGTGATAAATGTATGCTTTGAGATGAATGATATTAATAGAAGTTCATAGCTCAAAGATTTTAGCGACTGCTCCCTAATTCCCTACGATGTGTTTCTTTAGCTGGTGCCTTATAAGCGCTACACAAGGCTGGTGGCAACAAAGCGGTTAACGAAATTAGCCTGCACGCTCATCCTTTCAGTCGCCGTGAAAAAAATCGCCTTGACTGAAGTGTCAATTGGATTGGTGAAAATTAAACCAACCCAAATTGCAAAATGCCGTGCATTACCTTAAGTGTATTACGTCTGCGATTGGCAATGCATTATCTACGGTGTATGTAAAGTAAGTACTGCGTAATTAGCTGGAATTTTATTAGATTGGAAAGATGTTTTGAAACGTACAAGCGAGAAGACACCGCGAACAACTTGTCGGCGAAAATAAAAGCTGGAAACAAGCATTTTTGTACACGTTGTTTATGTGAGGAGCCTAGCTGCGATATTTTGTAACGTAGACACGTAATTAAAAAAATACTTTTACTTCTTACGAAGAATTTATTTCTTGTTCCCTCAGGGAACTGAGGAAAGTTGATGATCGTTTGAGATGCTCATCAATCAAGGGACTGTGAATCCGAATAGTACAAAAGAAAATGCGACTAAATGAAGCTGGAATGTTGTACACTATTTATTTCTATTTTTCGGTATAGCGATTTCGATTTGAATCGATATCGGGCAGTGTTATCTGCTGATTTTTTTTAATTATTTCCGACAGAGAGAAGCCGCCGTGCACAAATCGGTATGCGAAATGAAATATCACCGTCGAAGTGCTATAAAATTTATTTTAATTTGAAGGCTTTATTATGTAATGTAATAAATGGTATAAATGAAGAAGCTATTTACGGTCTCGGTCAAGTTAGAATAGTATAACTTGTACAATCCATCATTCCGAATATATAAAGTAGATCGATGTTGTTTTTGCGCCTTAGCAAAGTAGGTCATTTTAGTTTTTTTAATTTCAGATGTGTTTGCAGCTTGATGCCAATTTCACAAAGAAAGTGTGGTAATCCCTTCAGCTTTTGTTATAATTATTTCTTGTGCAAAATTGACGATTTTATTTTTAATCAGATTTAAATCAGTGCGAGTTATAGACTAGCGTAATACAATGGTAGTATTGCAGTAATAGAAGAAAACAGAATGTAAATAAATTTCATCGAGAACGGTAACATGCGTAATACCAAGTAAAATTGAATTAAATTAGGGAAAGAACCATCATTAGAACAAAACGTAAAAAGTAAATAGAGCGGTACAATTGCTTGATCAGTACGTGTAGCGCAAGTACTATTATTTTCCCTTTCCAAATCTGCTTGCGTTTAAAGAAAGTAATCGGCTTCTTCCATCAAACGGCTGTACTTTCACGATGAGAAGGTTTTTACAATAGTTTATTGCAGGGATTCATATCTCCAAGTAAACAGTTACCTACTTCCTATACAATATGCACACAAATTACTTTTTTACAATAGTATACGCTACACAATCTTTTCTAATACCTTTAAACCGCGATCACTGGGAACGCAACACGTCAAGGGTCTCTACCAGCGGTCTAAGATTATGGAAAATTAGGAAAAATTGAACTTTCATTACAATCAAGGGTATAAAAAGTGTATTTAACAATATTTTAATCATCAGATCATCTGCAATTTTAGAGAAAAAAGATATTTTTAATATTTTCAGAATCTTCTGAAATCAGAAGACTGAGTAACATGAGATTTGCGCTCGAATGACTCAGATTAGACAAAGTAACTGGCCTGTTTATTTCTTTTAATTTTACATTATGCAAATGATTTTTAACAGAAAAATAAGATTGTTCTGCGATTATAGAGGCAAATACTAATAGAATGATGTCTCACAAAGAAAATGAATCCTTTGTGTTTGTTTAAATTATAATTTTACTTTAATAATATTTTGAGAAATTCCAACGAAACATTATAAGCAAAAACATAATTTATTTTCATTTGACTTGATCAGTGGTCGATAGTACCTGCACCTTCAGGCCTGTTCCGATTTTTTCAACTCACTTTCGACCATTAAATCACCTGTGAGAGACAAGGTCGCCCCGTATTGACTTAATTTCATCGCGGAGGCTCTAAATATGACAAACAAACGGTCTGATGGATCAGTTTGCATCACGTTTAAATAAGTTAATCTCGGACGAGTGTCATCCTTGACTTTCCTTTTATAGGAACGTAATTTAGTGAGCTCTGTACGCCAAGATGCTAGCTGGAGAGTAATTAATCATTTATGGTTCGGTTTGTGGCTTTTTTTAAACAAATTAATGATTTATACGCAAATTTCTGGTATCCAGAAGCTTCTTTGCTCTATATTTCGGGTTAAAATCAGTATTTACTTCTTTAGTATGTATAACTAAGTTCGCTTGTTATCTCATATAAAAATTAAAGTAGTATATTCATGGTGCTCCCTAATTATTCTCTTTTAATTGCTATTTACTTCTTTTCTGTTAAAATATTTCCATGAGACATCACGTCGACGCATGCAAAAAGTCGGCTGAATCAGAATATGCAATCAGAAAAATAATTGGCCGTCAATTTGAAAAAAATATAGTCGAAAAAGAGGTTTCTTGTAAAAAAAAAATGTATTTTTTTAAACATTACAAACTTTTTGGTGGTAGTCATTCATTTGTTTGACTTTCTGTTTGATCGAAAATTATTTAATTAATTAGTTTTGACACCTCGGATAAAATGTTTAATTATGGACCTATTTTAAACATAAAAAATGTTTATTTTATTGATTATCAGGCAAAACTAGGACAGATATATTATTACGCTCGAATCGTAATCAAAATAACTGTCTGGAGCAACTAAAATGTACGAAAAATTAATACCACTGAACAAATAAATGACTGTTAGCAAAAAGTTTGTTGATTTTATACCATTTTGTGCAAAAAAGTACCTACAATGGGTTTTCTGATCGTATATGTTTTTAATTGATGTTCAATTGTTTTTCTGATTGCATATTCCGATTCCGCAGAACTTTTTACATAAGCCAATATTTTTTCCTTTTAATTGTTTTAATGATAAGAGAATAAATTGCAAAAAAATATGGATCATTCTTTGGCACGTTTTTTAAGGAATTTTGCAAAATTTGTTACAACTGTAACAAAAATAACGTTAAATATGAGTGAGTGACAAAAATAGCTGATTTGAAATAATATTTATACTTTATACTACACGTTAAAACTATGCGTATTCAAGAACAAGTGATGACATTGGCAATACCAGTTCTCTATGTAGATATGTGCACATTTCTCGAGGAAAATCCTTTATACAAATATGTCATACACTTCGCACGCATAATTATCAATTTTTAATCAATTCATGTCTATATTTAGACAGACTTATCACTTTTGGTGCTATGTACGTGGTGGAAAAACCACAAAATATTTTGCTTGAGCAGTATTTAAGAGCAACCAATTGTGAAATACAGGTATATCCTTGTTTATATAACATTTATTCTCTCACTTGTTTATTATACATTAAATTATTTAATATCGGTGTTAACACATTGTATTGCTTTTTATAAACAAACATTCCATGTCAAGCTAGAAACACGCGAAGTCCTACATAAAATACCAACAGTGATATCTGTATCACGACTCGCAGACCTAGCCCTCGTGTTCCACCCTGTACATTATTATCGCTACAACGAGAATAATATGTCGCTTATTAACCAAATTCAGTGCTATGACCGCGCCGCGAGCAAAATGGTTATGGAGAAATTAATTCTCACCTCGTTGTTGTTTTCTTTCGGTTTTTGTCAATTCGATCCGCATTTCTTTGGCAATCGGAGCGCCTTCGTCCACCTGTTCGAGTGGAAGTGGCTGGACGTTGCCGATGAATGCGAGAGGTTCTTGCAACACAAAGGATACGGCGGAGTGCAGGTAATCAAGGAGGAAGTTACATGCTCAAAAAGTGGTTTAGTATCTTTTATGTGGAGTTTGTAAGTAACACGGAGTCTGAGGTTGATGATTTATGCGGGATGTTACAAATATAGCAGCAAAAATGTTTATATAAGAAGTAAAACGATTAATTAACTGTTTTGTTCTACTTAATCGATAAGTAAAAGTGGAAGATGAAACAGTTTGTTCTCGTTTCTAAGTGTGGAAGCTTTTGTATGAATTTATCTTGGATATTCAAGGTGTCTCATACCCCTCAACTTTTCACTGGGTTCTACGTTAAAAAGAAGGAATAAGTTCTATTAAACTAAGTTCAGAAATGCTTCTTACATCGTCTTCGAAATTTTGGTCATCAAACTATTTGATTCTCAACAAGATGGATAAGTAAAAATTTTACAGATAAGGTGAATGTAAAGGCTGCCGCAACTTTGATGGCCGTTTTTTTTCAACGTAAAATCTAGTGATAAAGTTTTGGAAGACATCATTTTTACTGACACAGACCAAAATTTAGATATAATTAAATTTTAGATATCTCCGCCCAATGAAAACTTGGTAATTGAAAATAGACCATGGTGGGAAAGATACCAACCAGTCAGTTACATATTAAAGACACGATCTGGTGACGAAGACGACTTCAAAGCAATGACCAGGCGTTGCAATAACGTTGGAGTAAGGTCAGTAGACTCCATTTTTGTAATGCTTTATTTTGCATTTTGTACGTAATTCTCGTACAAGTTATTATGACCTATTTCTGCGCTTAAAGGAAATGAATAATTATAATCTCTTTTTCAGAATCTATGTAGATGCTGTTATAAACCATATGAGCGCATCGGATGGCACCGGCACTGCAGGAAGTAAAGCCGACTACAAGAATAAAATATTCCCAGCAGTACCATATAGCAAAAGTGATTTCCACGACAATTGTGCGGTGAGCAATTACCAAGACATAGGAAACGTGAGAAATTGCCAGTTGGTCGGTTTAAGCGACTTGGACCATGTAGGTAACTCAGTGTAGAGATAAATTTGAGCATTTTTCATATTACGTTCAATTTTTCAGAGTAAAGAATACGTCAGGCAGAAAATATCCGAGTATATGAACCACCTTATAGATCTAGGAGTGGCAGGCTTTAGGGTCGATGCAGCGAAACATATGTGGCCTGAAGATTTGAAGAAGATCGTTTCCAAACTTAAAAATTTAAACACCAAGTATGGATTCGCGGCGAATTCTAAGCCTTTCGTTTTTCAAGAAGTTATAGATCTTGGTGAGCTTCCACCAGCTATATTTTATGTAAAGAAAATTTGTTTATGGTTATATTGTTACATTTCAGGTAACGAAAGAGTGATCCCAGACTACGTCGAGATAGGAGCCGTGACGGAATTCAAGTACAGCAACTCCATCTCCAACGTTTTCCAAGGAAACGACAAACTCACCTACCTCGACAGCTGGGGCCCCACATGGGACTTTCTGTCAAATGGCGTCGCTGTGGTGTTCGTGGACAACCACGACACCCAGAGGGAGGAAGGAAAATTGACGTACAAAAAATCGAAACAGTACAAAATGGCCAACGCATTCATGTTGGCGCATCCATACGGTGTTCCCAAAGTTATGTCTAGCTTCGACTTCAACGAAAGGAACCAGGGTAAATACAACCCAATAAATTTTTTATTTGCGTTTTATCGACGAATTCCTTTTCAGGACCACCTCAGGACGGTTCTGGCAACTTGGTTTCACCGCAAATAAACACGGATGCGACGTGTGGCAACGGCTACATCTGCGAGCACCGCTGGAGACAGATCTACAACCTGGTGGAGTTCAGGATGGTAGCGAAAGGCACCCCAGTGACCAACTGGTGGTCGAATGGCGACCAACAGATCGCTTTCTGTCGAGGGAATAGAGGTTTTGTGGCTTTCACCAATTGGGGAGATTTGAAACAGCGTTTACAGACGTGTGTGTCTCCTGGAACGTATTGCGATGTCATTTCTGGTGGTGTTAGGGATGGGAGTTGTACTGGAAAAAGTATAGTGGTAGATGGTGATGGAATGGCTAATATTTCTTTAGAAAGTAACGAATACGATGGAGTTCTTGCTATTCATATAAATTCAAAATTGTAATAAACATTGTGAATAATGATGTGGGAATTAAAAATTAATAAAGTTTTTTATACTTTTAAGATTTTCTGTTTTCTTCATGGCATGTACATAAAATGCAGTTCAAGAAACACACATTAATCTAAAGCACGTTCAGTAAATATCTAAAACTGTCTAAATGCTTGCAAAAATTCAACAAATACAAATTGTTTAATAAAATTAATACAAAGAAAAAACACTATCTTCAGAGAATGGACAACTAAAATTTACTTTTCTTGGACAGTCGAAATATTCGAAGTCAAAAATGTAAAATATATAATTTACATCGGTGTGTTATTTGGTAGAATATGTTTACATTTAACAATCATTCAAATAACTAATAATAATTCAAAAATTGCCGGTTTTATTTAATGATAATAATTATGATTGAAAAAACGTGGCAAAAAAACAGTCAGTTACTCAGCAGTGTTTTTAGTTGTTATTTTCGTTCCGAATATTACCTCATAGAAAAAAATACTGTCGGCTCGTATGCGAGTTGTCAAAAGGCAACCTTGGCCATAAATATAATCGTCCAGTTAGTTCGCTGGAAGGATACTGGATTTATGTTTCGCTAATTGAATAAAAATAAGTACCATTCGAAGATCCTCGGGTAATTATCGAGCAATGGGTAATTTTAAAATAGTTCCGTTTCGCAACCTAATGGACAATGCGTGTAAAATGATTTTTAATTATTGTTTAAGAAACACTTATCCTCGTTTGCATGTACGAATAGTGTCGAAACGTTGCGTCCAGATTAGGCAGACAGACCTAGAGACCTAATAGTTCACAAGTACATAAATCGGCGAATGTTACTACTTTATTTATAATACAAAGGTTTGTATTCTAGTCTTACAATAAATATATCCCTGCAAATCATTGCACATCTCCGAGTTGTATAATCGAGTAATTTTGGCTTACCACACAGTCTGTATTTTGTTGTAGAGTATACATTGTTTTCGCTGCTCCAGTTCTGTCTATTCTGCCTGAGAATATCTTAATTAAACTTGTAGAGAACGATTTAATTATCAGCATAATTGATTCGAATTAACATAAACGTAGGCGTGACAATCTTCTACAATCGCGTTGTCGATTTAGTTAATGAGCTTCTCGCAAATGATTTCTTGTATATATTATACATAACTAACGTACATATGATTAATTCATTAGCTTAGATGTCAATTCCAGCAGATTTTCCACTGGACGTGTTTTAAAAAAAATACATCGCGTTTTCTTCAAATTATACCAATCTTCCCATACATATTTGACCATTTTGTCTTTATTTAACCGACTGAAGCCCCAGTTATGTGATTAATATTCTAATCTTGTTACCAAACGTCTCATTTCAGTAAATATCAGGCCAATGGGACGGTGAAAGGTCTTCAAGCAGAAGAGTGATCGAGTTTGTAAATTAAATTGATGGACGCTCAATTTGTAGGAGTTTAATTTTCCTTACGGCGTAATTACCGCAAGAAATATTATCAGTTCGCGTTCACCGAGGTATGAATTACGTTTATGTAATTATTAAGGCAACTATTAAAGATCAGTGTCAAGCCGCCAGCTTTGGTTATAAATCCAAAGCTTCTAACATCGCCGGTGGTAGTAAATTGGCTCGACAGGCTGTGAAATTAGATGGAATTTCAGGAAAAGTGAAGTCAGTATTGTGTTTCGAGTTCCTAAGGCGTCATTATTACCTCTAGCACGTCATCTGTGTCATATCGCAAACTTGCGTATGCTAATCTGATGACCGGCCGTACCGTTTATTAAAAGAACTCACTGGGAGCGGGTTGGGTAAGCCTTGCAAAAGGAAAACCGTCGGTGGATGTTTGCGACATGATGCCGGAGCGTTTATGACAAGTTCGTGACGCCGCTACGAAAGGAACGAAAAATCCGTTGCGATATTAGGAGATTAATACTGGCTTGGACAGATTTATGCAAACTTAGGTATCTGGGGCGATTCCGAGACGGATATTGTGACAGAATATTCACAATTGCCTTATAATATCTGCCTAAAAATCAGAGAATAATAATTGAGGAACTTATTTTTATTTCAATCTTTATATGCACAGGGTGTAAGCGAATACCGAACCATAATTTCTTGCACAAGGGAGCTATCGATATTTTTTGTCTTTTACAAGTCGTTTTAATTGAACTGACAAAGTAGGGTTATTTTTTCGTGTTATTTCGCAAATAATAATAATAAACATTTCAAATTATTCAAGAAAATGTATTCACTTTCTATTTGTTTCTATTTACTAAGCAAGCAAAGTTAGCAAGAGCTATACTCTTGTTTAAAAGAAATTCGTTTTTTGAAAATGTTGGAAATAGTTCAAAAATTCATTAAATATCGTTCTATTTTGAAGTGAGTGTTATTTCCCAGTACTTACAAGTATTGGATATTTTTAAAAGATAATGTCAATGTATAGTATTAAAATATTCTTTTATATCTCATCGAATTGATCTTGTACTTGATAAAATACTATTTAAATTTTTTAAATACTTGTTTTTTTTCTATACGACATTCAATAAATATTTAGTGGCGACGGTTCTTTTGTAATCAAGTCTCGATTTGCTGCCGTTTACATGCAAAATATGAGCAGCTAAAAACCTTTTGTTTATAAATAGAAACTGATAGGTACAGGTACATTAAAAAAGGGATTTTATTTGTCCTTAATAGTGTTGAGTCTCTTGTACATATACTTTGCTATGTTTAAACAATATACAAGTCTAGAAATAGGGTTTCTATACTAGGAACTATACTTTATTTTAAATATAATAAGGAAGAAACCGGTTTAATGATATGTATATAGGATATATCAAGATCAAGCAATAATTTGATGATGGAAATCACAGATGTAGGTAAATTTAATTGCAAGACGTCGTCAGTACCTGGAAATATATATTTATATTGTCTTTTAAGCTTTTTGTCCGAATAATGTTCGAAAAATAGAGTCATTCATCTGTAGCCACAAAAAAAAACAAATTATTCACGTGTTCATACCGGATCCGATAATGGGATAATTAACTTAATACCTATTTCTAAATGATGGTACTTTAACTAGATGATCGTAGTTGTAAATATACATCTATAAGTTGTAACAATTTGCTCATAACTCAGCTTTTAGTTCAAGGTCTAGCATTTGTCTCTGCCGGAAAAAAAACAGTAATTTTTCTTCGTCCAACCTACTCAACAAAACGCACTTAAAATCTGAAGTTTCTATATTTGTTTTGAAATTATAGAGGCAACAAAAACATCTAAAGCTTTCGTTAATTCAATTGTGGATGTATTAAGCTTGAGTAGCTCACGTAACGCGTTTTGTTACCAGAAACGCTATGTGACAATTGCTTTTTAAGCAATTAGCAACATGCCACCTTCCGGAATGGCTTTCTCTTGCGTTCAAGGTCGCGTGTGTTAAGTTCAAACGTTATGATTTCTTCATTTTCACTATCGAGAGGCGTGCTAGACCCTCACAAGGAGATCGAAACTGCACCGAACAAGAAAGTGTAATAAACAATTGATTAAATTTTGCAAACATTCAAGAATAAATATTCATTGTCAATTTTAACTCATTATTTCCCACAATCTTCAGTGGAGGATCATTTAATTTAATGTATTCTTGACCGGCGATACGAGTCGCTTGTGGTTTGGCGATTTTAGATAAAAACAGTTGTAAAAGTTTTTATGACAACGCATATTTAACGCGTCTTGCTAAGCAATTCTTTTTAATTATTGCCGATAAATTGGAAGGAAGTTGATTTTGACAACTACGTAGTAAAAGTCCGAATGTAAGTTACATGGAAAAAATGAAAATGAAAATTCACGCAATTGTTCCTAAAATCGCGACAGGAACGAATTGTGTGAACATTCGACGTTTACATCGTGATTATTTTTACAATTATAGTGAAATTATTACAAACAAATGTAAATTTTCTAAAATTTCTCAACGATATTTATAAAAGTTTCTTTATAATTCGATGACTGTCTATTTTTTTACGATTAAACTCACGATTTTTGCGACATATCCCCTCTTAAACATCTGCTTCCACTTTTTTACGTTTATTGAATACAGTCACGAGACCTCTGTTAAAAAAATCGACCTGCGATATGCGGATAGCAAATCAGTCGGCAGAGCATGAACCAACGGCAGCTTCTGATTTATATTTTGCAGCACATTTGCTACATACATCACGACCGGATTCCGTAACAGTCACACTCGAAGTCTTGGATAATGAGCAGACGCTTCGATAGATGAAAATTAGATAAAAAATTTCGCAACTATATACTACAACGTAGCTTTAATTTCTCTACCGAGTTGCACGCATGGCTGGGATTATGCAAAAGCGACGAGGAAGATCGCGTATTATACTCCGTGAGATATCCAGAGCTTTCATTTAAAGCGTAGCTTGGATACTATGCAAATTAAAATTCTTTCAGTAGTGCTTGCAATTGTTTCTATTGTATACGACTCGGCTCGATTGTAGGTGTCTGTACGTTTGGTGGAAGATAATGTCAGATATCTTGAAAACCAAATATTAATATAATTAATTAATTCTACACAATGTATGATGTATGTTCAATTCATTCAAATTGTGCATAAAAACCATAACAAATACCTATGTAAACATTTCTTAAATTTTTATCAGTTTAAGTATATCTACTATTCTACTGTATTTGTATCGATAACACTATAAATAGAAAACTATATATTTTAAACGTCTTTCTAGAATATTGCATAAATATCTCTTAACAAATATTATCAAAACAGAGCTTTGTGACATATTTTCTGCAACTTCGTGACACAGAGCATCGATTTTTGCTTGCCCAATATGTAAATCTCTAGAACTTCGCAAGAACCGCTACAACCAATAATCGGTACATGAACACAGTTTGCCTTGCACTGCTCTTGTTTCAGCGACTACTACGATGTATGTAGATTGCCCCGAAGAATTCGTGCTTCTTCATTGCAACAGGCGGCCTTGCTTTCGGCAAACATGTCACACACCGCTAGACGCATTTGGTACGTTATAAACCGCTTTTGTTTAGGGA